TTTTGCTCAAACTAACCTGATTCCGCTTATTAACCAGCTAATTATTAGAATCAGGTGCGCTAGATTAGGGTTGGAGTGAAAACCTACAGGATGGTACAGGGTTGAAGAGCCCTGCTCTGGGATGGAACAGGGTTGGAGAGCCCTACTCTGGGATAGAACAGGGTTGGAGAGCCCTGCTCTGGGCAGGAACAGGGTTGGAGAGCCCTGCTCTGGGATGGAACAGGGTTGGAGAGCCCTGCTCTGGGATGGAACAGGGTTGGAAAGCCCTGCTCTGGGATGGAACAGGGTTGGAGAGCCCTGCTCTGGGATGGAACAGGGTTGGAGAGCCCTGCTCTGGGATGGACCAGGGTTGGAGAGCCCTGCTCTGGGATGGACCAGGGTTGGAGAGCCCTGCTCTGGGCAGGAACAGGGTTGGAGAGCCCTGCTCTGGGATGGACCAGGGTTGGAGAGCCCTGCTCTGGGATGGACCAGGGTTGGAGAGCCCTGCTCTGGGATGGAACAGGGTTGGAGAGCCCTGCTCTGGGATGGAACAGGGTTGGAGAGCCCTGCTCTGGGTTTAATGAAAGGCTAGTTTGCTTCCAATCGGTTTGAGCTTTCTCCAAATGAATAAGCATTAGTACGCTACACATAGAATACATACAGTGCATTCGGAAAGTATTCAGACCTCTTGACTTTTTCCACATTTTGTTATGTTACAGCTTTATTCTAAAATTGATAAAATAAATTGTTTTCCTCATCAATCTACACACAATACCCCATAATGACAAAGCGAAAACAGGTTTTTAGAATTTTTTAATGTATTAAAAATAAAAATACGGAAATACCTTATTTACATAAGTATTCAGACCCTTTGCTATGAGACTCGAAATTGAGCTCAGGTGTTTCCATTGATCATCCTTGAGCTGTTTCTACAACTTGATTGGAATCCACCTGTGGTAAATTCAATTGATTGGACATGATTTGGAGAGGCACACACCTGTCTATATAAGGTCCCACAGTTGACAATGATGGCGCCGGAGAAGATGGCTGCTGTTTTACAGCCTTCTAACCAATTGTACTATTATGTGTGTTTTTTCGTGTTATTTGTAACTTATTCTGTACATAATGTTTCTGCCACCGTCCAAAAATAGCTTCTGGATATCAGGACAGAGATTACTCACCTCGTATTGGACGAAGATTTTTTATTCAACGAGTCGGACGCGAAGGATATCCTACAGACACCCGACAAGGCCCAAAGCCTATTCCCCCTCAGGAGACTGAAAAGATTTGGCATGGGTCCTCAGATCCTCAAAAAGTTCTACAGCTGCACCATCGAGAGCATCCTGACTGGTTGCATCACCGCCTGGTATGGCAACTGCTCGGCCTCCGACCGCAAGGCACTACAGAGGGTAGTGCGTACGGCCCAGTACATCACTGGGGCCAAGCTTCCTGCCATCCACGACCTCTATACCAGGCGGTGTCAGAGGAAGGCCCTAAAAATGGTCAAAGACTCCAGCCACCCTAGTCATAGACTGTTCTCTCTGCTACCGCACAGCAAGCGGTACCGGAGCGCCAAGTCTAGGTCCAAAAGGCTTCTTACCAGCATCTACCCCGAAGCCATAAGACTCCTGAACAGCTAATCATGGCTACCCGGACTATTTGCATTGCCCCCCCACCCCATCCCCCTCTTTTACGCTGCTGCTACTCTGTTTATTATTTATGCATAGTCACTTTAACTCTACCCACATGTACATATTACCTAAATTACCTCGACTAACAGGTGCCCCCGCACATTGACTCTGTACCGGTACCCCCTGTATATATATAGCCTCCCTACTGTTCTTTTATCTTACTGCTGATCTTTAATTATTTGCTATTGTTTTTTTGTTTGTTTTTTACTGCATTGTTGGTTAAGGGCTTGTAAGTAAGCATTTCACTGTAATGTCTACACCTGTTGTATTCGGTGGATGTGGCAAATAAAATTTGATTTGATTTGATTTGACAGTGCATGTCAGAGTAAAAACCAAGCCATGAGGTCGAAGGAATTGTCTGTAGAGCTCCGAGACAGGATTGTGTCGAGGCACAGATCTGGGGAAAGGTCCCAAAAACGTTCTGCAGCATTGAAGGTCCCCAAGAACACAGTGGCCTCCATCATTCTCAAATGGAAGAAGTTTGGAACCACCAAGACTCTTCCTAGAGCTGGCTGCCCGGCCAAACTGAGCTATCGGGGGAGAAGGGCCTTGGTCAGGGAGGTGACCAAGAACCCGATGGTCACTATGACAGAGCTCTAGAGTTCCTCTGTGGAGATGGGAGAACCTTTCAGAAGGATAACCATCTCTGCAGGACTCCACCAATCAGGCCTTTATAAAGTAAAAGTAAAAGTAAAAGGCACGACAGACCGCTTGGAGTTTGCCAAAAGGCACCTAAAGGACTCTCAGACCATGAGAAACAAGATTCTCTGGCCTGATGAAAGCAAGATTGAACTCTTTGGCCTGAATGCCAAGTGTCACATCTGGAGGAAACCTGGCACCATCCCTAAGGTGAAGCATGGTGGCGGCAGCATCATGCTGTGGGGATGTTTTTCATCGGCATGGACTGGGAGACTAGTCAGGATCGAAGGAAAGATAAACAGAGCAAAGTACAGAGAGATCCTTGATGAAAACCTGCTCCAGAGCACTCAGGACCTCAGACTGGGGGCAAAGGTTCACCTTCCAACAGGACAACGACCCCAAGCACACAGCCAAGACAACACAGGAGTGGCTTTGGGACAAGTCTCTGAATGTCCATGAGTGGCCCAGCCAGAGTCCAGACTTGAACCCGATCGAACATCTCTGTAGAGACCTGAAAATAGCTGTGCAGCGACGCTCCCCATCCAACCTGACAGAGCTTGAGAGGATCTGCAGAGAACAATGGGAGAAACTCCCCAAATACAGGTGTGCCAAGCTTGTAGCATCATACCCAAGAAGACTCAAGGCTGTAATCGCTGCTAAAGGTGTTTCAACAAAGTACTGAGTAAAGGGTCTGAATACTTATGTAAATGTAATATTTAAGTTTTTTATTTTTAATAAGTTAGCAAAAATTTCTTACAACCTTTTTTTTTGTCATTATGGGGTATTATGTGTACATTGATGAGGGGATTTTTTTTTGGTCCATTTTAGAATAAGGCTGTAACGTAACAAAATGTGGAAAAAGTCAAGGGATCTGAATTATTTCCGAATGCACTGTTTTTGAAGAAATGTCACCTTACAGTTTAAAATACATCTGACAGCAAAACAAGTAAACGTGTCAATATTCAATTTACTTGTACAGTAAAAGGCCAAACAATCACACAACAATTGAAAATTCCACTGAAATGAAAAGCAAAGGATTTAACTTAACAACAGAAGGAGAAAAGGCATTGACATACATATAGACAAACCCATCCTGCCTCCCAAATGGCACTCACTTCCGTACGTAGTGGACTACCTTTGACCAGAGCCCTATGGGGCCTGGTCAAAAATAGTGCACTGTATAGGAAATAGGATGCCATTTGGAACGTACGCCCAGTCTTTTAGTCCCCTGGTCCTCTTTACATTTACATTTTAGTCATTTAGCAGATGCTCTTATCCAGAGCGACTTACAGTTAGCACATACATTATTTTATCGAACCCACAACCCTGGCGTTGCAAACGCCATGTCTACCAACTGAGCTACATCCCCTGCTGGCCATTCCCTCCCCTACCCTGGACGACGTTGGCCAATTGTGCGCCGCCCCATGGGTCTCCCGGTCGCGGCCGGCTACGACAGAGCCTCTTCTCTTCCATTATCACCAGCCAGGAGACTAGTGTCAATGGACAGAAAGCTGCTGATTAATGTCGCACAATTCTGCAAACCAGCTGCAGGAGGAATGTCTGTGTCTATTCCCTATAGTGCACTATGGGGAATAGGAAGCCATTTGGGATGCAGTCTGTCTGTACATACAAAACCACTGTAGACATCTGTTTCTACAGAATGAGTCGCTACACTCACCGTCGACTTCCACAATGTGAAACACTAACAGCCAATTAAAACTAAAACAGTAACATGCATGTACAGCTACTCAGCCACCTAGCCTATGTGTGCGTGAAGCAGACCTGGGTTCAAATAGTATTCAAAATAATAATATTATTTTGGCTAGGCTTGATTGAGCTTGCCTGGTGCTATTAACCAATAGACTAATCGCAATACTGCAAACACCGCTCCTGGCAGGCTAAAGCAAATGCTAAAAGTATATGAAAGATTTCTAATACTATTTGAACCCAGGTCTGGAAATATGGGTCCCATCAGTTAGCGGGGAGAGAACTATCCATCTATGTAGCATGTGCAAAAGCCATAGCCATAATCTCTCAATCTCAATACAAATAAAATAATATATTAAATTAACATGAAAGAACATCCCTTCTTTATGGTAAATGATATAGAAAATACAAGACCAAAACCTTGGAATGCCCTACTAGTATCCTGCTATCCACACACACAGAGCAAGTCATTCATTTAGCTACCTTCTCTACAGCTCAGTTCAAAAGCAGCTACTGTTATTAACCCATGGCTAGCTTGACAGAAAAAAAATACATTTCAATTGGCAAACTCTTCAAGGACTCAAGCTTGGCCACTCTACAACCAGATTTGGTTTCAAAAGTATGACTTGGTTTGGGGTGACAAGGTGACAAAGGTGCGTAACAAACAACTTTAATACCATGTAGTACTCATAAAACAAGGGTTTTCTTTTGTTAAATATTCCTGTAAAGCGTTAAAAGGTAGTACCTGTTTTTGTCTTCATTCAATCGTTTTTTCCACAATTACACACATAAATGTGTATTTCTTTCTACACCCTGGAGTGTAACATGTTATCATTTAATATATATATATATAAAGGGTCTTATACATTACTCTGTTGTAGACTAGTACAGTCCCCAATAAATATCCTCACAACAATCACTTCATAATCGTATCTGTATGTCCACTTTGTCTGTTGAGCAGAGTTCAGAGTTACAGTAAAATGTCTACGAAAAGTTTTGTATGAAAACCTTTTCTTCGATCAAACTGATAGACTTGTCCGTCAGCATCGCCTCGCTGTTCACAAACCTGTACCCAAACAGTTTCATCGTGGGTCCACAAACTCTCTGCACCACCTGGGCTAGTTTGTACGGTATGCTGAACCTCCATTTCTCTACTTGCTCGGAGGAGTTCTTCTGTGTTGAATAAACTCCGCTTGTCTCATTGGAAGCCTGGGTGTTCTTTAGTACCCAGTCTTTCACCTGAGGAGTGAACGGGATCCCGGTGAACTTGTACATCTCCGCTGCCTTCCTCATAGGGAATCTAGCGATATCCTCGTACCGCACTAGCATGTACCTCCGCCTCAGCCACGACGGCTGCCTCAGGCCCACCTCCGCAGACATCCTGATGTTGTCGCAGTTCCCTTTCAGCTTCCTCACCTCGTCGTCGTCAATGGGCACGTCCCCGTCCACGGCCCACTTCTTCCAGTTGTTGTACTTTGCAGAGAAGGCCACCATGCGCGAGGCCAGAACCGCCCTGGGGTCCCTCACCAGCTGGATGAACTTGATATCCAGACGAGGGTCCTCAGCGAGGGGTCTCAGGGTCTCCAGCTGACGCACCCGGACGGATTTAATGGCCCTGTGCTCCTTCTGCTGGCATGACTCGGACGCCATGGTCAGGTTGAGGGGACCACACTTCCTGGTCCGGCAGTGGTAGCGCTCAAATACTTTCTTAACAAACGGGCTACAGACGGACTCCTCACAGAGAGAGCTGCTAGATTCTCTCCTGAACAGGGCTGAGGTGACGTGGTCTACAGGAAGTGGGTCAATAAAGCTCTCCAGAGGGGTGAAGTCGCACAGGAAGAGCCCCTGGAGGACTTCTCGGTAGGCCCGGGCGGCGGCCGTGGCATTGGTCCCGCCGGTCTCTAACGTCAGCGATCTCTCGACGTGCCACAGCGGCTCGAACAGGTAGAACATGTTGTCGCCCTGCTGGTTGAAGAACTCGCCCACGAAGGAGGAGCCTGTCCGCGTGGTGGCCAATAGGAGGATGTGCTTTCTGTTTCCTGCTGATCCTATGACCTCTGACCTACAATACAGTACAAATTACAAAAATGTATTGTCCAATGTCAATCGGATCGGATACATTTTTTAAAAAAAACGTTATTCCCAACCCCTTGGACACCACACATATAAATACAGATCAGGAGTGGGGACACCATTATGCTAGCTTAAGGAACATCTTTACTGAGACAAAACAGGATATGTTACACACAGCATTATAGGTAATGTAGTATCAATCAATCAATCACATTTATTTGATGAAGCCCTTTTTACGTCAACAGTTGTCACAAAGTGCTTTACAGATACCCAGCCTAAAACCCCAAAAAGCAAGCAATGGAGAGGCAGAAGCACAGTGTCTAGGAAAAACACCCTAGATGGCAAGAACCTAGGAAGAAACTTAGAGAGGAACCAGGCTCTGAGGGGTATCCAGTCCTCTCTTGGCTATGCAGGGTAGAGAGGAACCAGGCTCTGAGGGGTGGCCAGTCCTCTCCTGGCTGTACTGGGTAGAGAGGAACCAGGCTCTGAGGGGTGGCCAGTCCTCTCCTGGCTGTACTGGGTAGAGAGGAACCAGGCTCTGAGGGGTGGCCAGTCCTCTCCTGGCTGTACTGGGTAGAGAGGAACCAGGCTCTGAGGGGTGGCCAGTCCCCTCCTGGCTGTACTGGGTAGAGAGGAACCAGGCTCTGAGGGGTGGCCAGTCCTCTCCTGGCTGTACTGGGTAGAGAGGAACCAGGCTCTGAGGGGTGGCCAGTCCTCTCCTGGCTGTACTGGGTAGAGAGGAACCAGGCTCTGAGGGGTGGCCAGTCCCCTCCTGGCTGTACTGGGTAGAGAGGAAACAGGTTCTGAGGGGTGGCCAGTCCTCTCCTGGCTGTACTGGGTAGAGAGGAACCAGGTTCCAAGGGGTGACCAGTCCTCTTCTGGCTGTACTGGGTAGAGAGGAACCAGGCTCTGAGGGGTGGCCAGTCCTCTCCTGGCTATGCAGGGTAGAGAGGAACCAGGCTCTGAGGGGTGGCCAGTCCTATCCTTGCTGTACATGGTAGAGAGGAACCAGCCTCTGAGGGGTGGCCAGTCCTATCCTGGCTGTACTGGGTAGAGAGGAAACAGGTTCTGAGGGGTGGCCAGTCCTCTCCTGGCTGTACTGGGTAGAGAGGAACCAGGCTCTGAGGGGTGGCCAGTCCTCTCCTGGTTGTACTGGGTAGAGAGGAACCAGGCTCTGAGGGGTGGCCAGTCCTCTCCTGGTTGTACTGGGTAGAGAGGAACCAGGCTCTGAGGGGTGGCCAGTCCTCTCCTGGCTGTACTGGGTAGAGAGGAACCAGGCTCTGAGGCGTGGCCAGTCCTCTCCTGGCTGTACTGGGTAGAGAGGAACCAGGCTCTGAGGCGTGGCCAGTCCTCTCCTGGCTGTACTGGGTAGAGATTTAAGAGTGCATGTGACCATTAAGGCCAGACTGTTTGTCTTAATGTATGATAAATAGTATATGATGCTACACACACAGACCTCTGCTCGGTGTAGTTCTCCAGACGTCTCTTCATGAGGGTGAAAGCAGGGTCCAGCTTGCTCAGCGTAGTGAAGGAGGAGCCATTGAACTTCAGGAGACCCAGGGCTGAGGCTGGGGCAGAGTTACTGGGCTGGAGGGGTGTCTGGGGGGTCTGCTTTGGGGTGAGCTTGTCTGAGACCCTAAAAGACAGTGTTAAACAATGTATTTATATTTTTTTATGTTTTATAGTTTAGAAGACCATCTTATCCTCAGACAGTGAATTCAATCAAAGTAAGTAAACAACCAATGCAATTGAAGCCTTGACAGCATGACTACTTCATCCAATCAGACAAATTGGAAAAAAAACAGCATGTGAGTAGCTGAAACAAATGTTCCAAACACACAGCTCTGAATAAAGGTGAGTCTGTTCCAATCTGAGGGAGATCAGTACAACAGGCAGGCTTAACACACACACACACACTCTCTTTCTCTCTCTCTCTCTCTCTGTCTCTCTCTCTCTCTCTCTCTCTCTCTCTCTCTCTCTCTCTCTCTCTCTCTCTCTCTCTCTCTCTCTCTCTCTCTCTCTCGCTCTCTCTCTCTGTTGATCATGGAGATGGGCTTAGGTTTACCGTGAGATAATATTGTTTTCCTTCTCAATGATGACCAGTGCCACAATGAAGACAAGGGAGATGGAGTACTTCAACCTCATTCTGTGATGTAGCTGTGCTGGGATATGCTGCTGTCACGGACTGTCTTCTTAATAGGTTCTGCCAATCCTCTTCTCCAGACTCCAGCTGCCTGTTCAAAGAGTCCTCCACTTGTTCGTTGTTGTATTTCCCATCGTAAAGACGGCTGTTTCATTCTGCAAAATGAAATGAGCATTAATAAACTGTCAGTCACACTTTTCAACGCTATAGTACTGTAAACAAGAACACAAACCTTAAATGACTTAAATTGTTATAGTAAAGATGACTTAAATTGTTATAGTAAAGTTGTGTTAGATTAAATCTAATCTGTTGATAACCAGTCAAATGGAGGAGAAAGTAGCACAGGTTCTACATATATAGCTTGATGTAAATGTATCAGTGCCTTGTCACTTAGTCAGCATGTTGTAGCCTATAATAATAATATGCCATTTAGCAGACACTTTTATCCAAAGGGACTTACAGTCATGCGTGCATACATTTTGTGTATGGGTGGTCCCGGGGATCAAACCCACTACCCTGGCGTTACAAGCGCCGTGCTCTACCAGCTGAGCTACAGAGGACCACTAAGCCTGTGTAGCCTTAGTCAGCATGTTGTAGCCTTAGTCAGCATGTTGTAGCCTTAGTCAGCATGTTGTAGCCTTAGTCAGCATGTTGTAGCCTTAGTCAGCATGTTGTAGCCTTAGTCAGCATGTTGTAGCCTTAGTCAGCATGTTGTAGCCTTAGTCAGCATGTTATAACCTGTGTAGCCTTAGTCAGCATGTTGTAGCCTTAGTCAGCATGTTGTAGCCTTAGTCAGCATGTTGTAGCCTTAGTCAGCATGTTGTAGCCTTAGTCAGCATGTTGTAGCCTTAGTCAGCCTGTTATAGCCTTAGTCACTGTTATAGCCTTAGTCAGCATGTTATAGCCTTAGTCAGCATGTTATAGCCTGTTTGAGGTGGGGTTTTAATAGCTATTCTTTTGTTTGTGTCATGCTAGCTTCCCATCCATTGGTGTAAGACCCCTTTTCCGGGAGAGGATAATATAATTTCATATTTCAGTGGTGTAAGAATAGAAAGTGGCAGAGTGGTTTCACCGGGGGAATTTAATCTGCTACTTCCCTTGGGTCGGTCTGTGTTATCTTTAGGGCTACAGGGGGATTTCAAGAACATGCTTACAGTGGGCCACCCACCATGCTAGTGTTGAAAGCTGGTGACCCCCCAGAGATAAAACAATGTTCGCTCAGACTGAGTCTCTCTCTGTCTCTCTGTCTTGCATCTAATGGCGATAATAGCATAAAAATGTGTTTGTAACATGACCCATACACAGCGGAACAAAATATCTTGGCTTTGAATGCAACCAACGCTGCCAAACACAAAAGTATGTGCTCGTCGGACATCTCATTTCAAAATCATGGGCGTTAACATGGAGTTGGTCCCCCCTTTGCTGCTATAACAGCCTCCACTCTTCTGGGAAGGCTTTCCACTAGGTGTTGGAACATTGCTGCGGGGACTTGCTTCCATTCAGTCACAAGAGCATTAGTGAGGTCGGACACTGATGTTGGGTGATTAGGCCTGGCTCGCAGTCGGCGTTCCAATTCATCCCAAAGGTATTCAATGGGGTTGAGGTCAGGGCTCTGTGCAGGCCAGTCATGTTCTTCCACACCGATCTCGACAAACCATTTCTGTATGGACCTCACTTTGTGCATGGGGGCATTGTCATGCTGAAACAGGAAAGGGCCTTCCCCAAACTGTTGCCACAAAGTTGGAAGAACAGAATCGTCTAGAATGTCATTGTATGCTGTAGCGTTAGGATTTCCTATCATTGGAACTAAGGGACCTAGCCCGAACCATGAAAAACAGCCCCAGACCATTATTCCTCCTCCACCAACCTTTACAGTTGGCACTATGCATTGGGACTAGGCGCTTCAGCACTCGGCGGTCCCGTTCTGTGAGCTTGTGTGGCCTACAACTTCGCGGCTGAGCCGTTGTTGCTCCTACACGTTTCCACTTCACAGTAACAGCACTTACAGTTGACCGGGGCAGCTCTAGCAGGGCAGAAATTTGACGAACTGACTTGTTGGAAAGGTGGCATCCTATGACGGTGCCACGTTGAAAGTCACTGAGCTCTTCAGTATGGGCCATTCTACTGGCTGTGTGCTCGATTTTATACACCTGTCAGCAACGAGTGTGGCTGAAATAGCCAAATCCACTCATTTGAAGAGGCGTCCACATACTGCTGGTCAAGTAGTGTATGTCACCAAGGTACCCAACCCACTTCAGTCTACCAGCGGCTCCTTTATGTCAACACTCAATTAGGTATTTTCAGAGAAGACTCAAGAGCCACTCAGTGACATGTTCAGCAGGCTACTGGAATAAACCACCGTCTGGTGAAGACATACTGTAGCCTGGTCCCAGATCTGTTGGTGCTGTCTTACCACCTCCTAGTTGTTCCTTCAATGACAATGAAAATAGGAGTTCACAAGTTAGCACAAACAGATCTGGGATCAGGCAGGTAGGAGCATTGGGCCAGTAACTGAAAGGTTTGCTGGATCGAATCCCCGAGCTGTCAAGGTAAAAAAAATCTGTCGTTCTGAGCAAGGCAGTTAACCCACTATTCCCTGGGCTCTGATGATGTCGATTAAGGCAGCCCCCACCCCCTGCAGCTCTCTGTTTCAGAGAGGTTGGGTTAAATGCGGAAGACACATTTCAGTTGTATAACTGACTAGGTATCCCATATTCATGGGTTGCATGTTTCGTTACAATAATGTTTTGGACTGATGCCCGACTGAGCATTCTACTCAATGCATCGTCAACGAGCGCTGATGAAGATTTCATCAAAAGTGCATTACAGTGGCTTGGAAAAACAATAATGACATTCAAAAGGAGGCAAATAATTAGTAGAAAACCTTTTGTCATCATTTTGATGTCGCCAGATTGACTTTAAATGCAGTATAACGTTAGCTAGATAGCTAAGATTGAGGGGAAGCCACCGGATTTTAGCTAGCTAACGTTAGCATTGACAGCAATTTTTTAAGGACTTTGCTAGCTAATGACAACACTGCCATCCATCTAAAGTAAATTTGACGACATGATAATGCTGGCAAAGATGTTTCCTACTAAATATTTGATTACTTTAGCATTGTAATTGTATTTCCAGACACTATAGTGTAATTTAGACTAAATAGTATTTAGCCTCCGTCCAGAAGGACTGGGTTTATCACCACTTTAGGGCACCACTATGGCGCCACCGGCAGAGGGCGGCTTGGGAATGTTCTTAACAATGGCATGACGCAACCGAGTGAAGGAGGTGAAACCTATGAATAGTGAAGAAGGGCTTTCAGTATTCCAACAGAGAGCTCCCAGACTGAGCCCCTTAAACAGTGACCTAAAACTGCACTAAAACAGCACAGAGGCAAAAGTAAACAGAAACTGAGGGGGAAAACCTGCTTGTCACAGGGCCATAAATTGTAGCCATTATGAGACTGTGAGAGTGTGAGCAAGCAGGACTGCAGTAGGATATGAAACCTTGGCGTGCGTCCCAAATGTTACCCAATACCCTTCATAGTGCACTACTTTAGATCAGGTCCCATAGGGGGAATATTGTGCCATTTGGGACGCACCCCTAGCTGTACCTGCTTGCAGAGTAGGTAGGGTCTATCCATTGAAGACAAAGACGGATTTAATGGGGCCTATTTAGGGATATCCTGCCCATTCTGCTGAAGGATTACTATAATGTTACTTTTGGGATAATGTCAGCTTGGCTTTAATCCCTGACTAATGCTCCAGGATGAAAGGGGCATTCTGGGATTCTAAGTAAACAAAAGCGGTCAACCCGCCACTCATTTTTTTGTAAACAACTGAAGGGTGTGGGCTGGAGAAATGTAACCACTCTTAAATGAAGTTATATTCTTCAAATATCAATGGCTATATATAATTCATCTAAAAAATCCAAAAATGGATGTACCAATCCCAGATTGCCACTTTAAACTCAGGGAAAGGTTCACCTTACATGACGAGAGACTGTGGCCATTCACCCACAGTAACAAGTACTACATTGATTGAGGTGATGATTGAGGTGAAAATGTACATCACTATTGAACCGGTTTGATATAATGACCCATTCAATGAGAAGACACAGGTTAACCGTTGCTTATGTGTCTGCCACCACAAAACCAGCTGTAGACCAACAACACTATGGTATCTTTCTATTCAAATGTCCATCTACTATCGAGTCAGGAAAAGTGTATAAACATGAAGCAGAACTTGTAAACCATCTGATTTAACCGTATATATAGCTGGTGTTAATACATTTTTCAAAAGGCACATCTGTGTCTGTGACAAGGTCAGTTCATTAGGACCCTCTAATGGTAATCCCAAGTGGCACCCTATTCGTTACCTAGTGCACTACTTTAGACCAGAGCCCTAAAGGCGCTGCCCTGGTCAAAAGATGTGCACTATATATGGAATAAGGTGCCATTTGAGCCACATGATGTGGAAAACGTCTGCCGGCTCCCGAGTGGCGCAGCGGTCTAAGGCACTGCATTTCAGTGTTTGAGGCGTCACTACAGACCCCCTGGTTTGATTCCAGGCTGTGTCACAATCCGGCCGTGATTGGGAGTCCCATAGGGCGGTGCGCAATTGGCCCAGCGTCGTCCGGGTTTGGCCGGGGTACACCGTCATTGTAAATAAGAGTTTGTTCTTAACTGACTTGCCTAGTTAAATAAATAAAAACAATGAGGTCCCTCTAACAGTGGCAACAGTAAAAGGCTGTGATCATTAAAGATCCTGAGACCATTAAAGATCCAATGCCCGGCTCAGAGATCAAACCGCTCCCTATATACGGCACTACTTTTGACCAGAACCTCTTAGGTACGGGATTACAATGATGACAGAACTACGCCAGTTTGTATTTTGAATGTTGTGGTTGCACGTTGAGATTCGTGGTTGCAAGTACGATTCGCAAATGTGTAATTTAAATTTTGCAAGCTTGTATCATGATGTGTGAAAGATTAAACAGCGGTCGC